GGTAGAGCTGGATGCTGAAGGGGAAGAAGACCTGCAGCACCGGGCAGAAGTCCACGCCGGCCGCCAGCCGGTTCAGCTCCTCGGCCCACAGGTCGTGGCTCAGCACCAGCAGCACGTTCTCCACGCCCGCCGCCCTCCGCAGCGACTCCAGCAGCAGCCGCAGGTGCTCGGCGCGATCGTGCACCTGCACCACCAGCACCACGTCGGCGGCACCGACACCACCACCGGCACCACCACCACCGGGAGCCCGCACCGGGAAGCGCCCCGCGTTGCTCAGCGGCTGGTCGAAGTTCAGCCGGTAAACGAGCGAGCGGTAGCTCCGCGTCCCGTTCTCGGGGAGCACCGGGACGAGCTGGGAGCGAGCGAGGCCGAGGCGTTGTTGGCGGCGGGGCGGCGAGGAGGCGGCGGGGGAGGCGGCGGCGGCGGCTGCTCGCTCGCCCGCGGCGGTTCCCCGGTGCCGCCCGCTGCTGCCTCCGCCGCCCTCCGCTCCACAGCACCAGCGCGCAGGCCGCCAGCGCCAGCGCCAGCAGCAGCACCTTGCGCTTGTAGATCCGCAGCCTCATCCTCCAACGCCTCCCGCCGCCGGCGGCCGCCGCCGCCGCGCCGCCGCTGCTCCCGCCGGCCGCGCGCGCCGCCCCGCCGCCGCCCCCCGCGCCCACGTCGCCGCCCGCCATAGGGCGCCCGGCCGGGCCCGCCGCCGGAGCAGCCTCATTGGCCGCCGCCGGCGCCATTTGCTGAGCCGCTTCCGCCGGGGGAGGCACCGGGGGCAGCACCGGGAGCGGAGGGAGCCGGGCGGGGCAGCGGCAACGGGAGAGGCATCGGGAGAGGCACCGGGAGCGGAGGGCACTGAACGCACGTGGAGCGAGGGGCGCGCTGCCCGCAGCCCCCTGGGGAGTTTGGGGTTGGGGGGGTGTGAGGAGAAACCACGGGCGGTCCCGGTCTTGGACACCCCCGTCCCGGTCGTCCTGGTCCCAGACACCCCGGACCGGGACACGGGACACCCCCGGACCCGGACACCCCCATCCCGGTCACCCCAGTCCCGGACATCCCAGACCCAGGACACCTCCGGTCCCGGGACACCCCCGTCCCGGACATCCCGGTCCCGGACATCCCGGACCTGGATACCCCAAACCCGGGACACCCCCGGTCCCGGTCACCCCGGTCCCGGACATCCCCGGTCCTGGACATCCCGGACCCGGGACACCCCCAGTCCTGTGCACCCCCATCCTGGACACCCTGGTCCTGGACATCCTGGACCTGGACACCCCTGGTCCTGGTCACCCCCATCCCGGCCACCCCAGACCCGGGACACCCCAGACCCAGGACACCCTGGTCCTGGACACCCCGGACCCAGACCCCCCATCCCGGTCACCCCAGACCCGGGACACCCCGGTCCCCCCCTTCCCAGTCACCCCAGATCTGGGACACCTCTGCTCCTGGACACACCCATCCCGGTCACCCCAGTCCCGGGACACCCTGGTCCTGGACATCCCGGACCTGGGACACCCCGGTCCCGGACACCCCCAAGTCCCTCCCGGGAGCCCCAGCACAAGCACACAGCCACCCTGAGGGTTGATGCTCAGCACCTTTTTATTCCCAGCACAGAAATCCCGGGGTGCACCACAGCTGCTCCCTCCCCACCAGGCTGACCCCTGTGGCACCCAAATGGCTGGGAGGCGAGCTCAGAACCGGGTGGGAGGTGAGCAGTGAGCGCCCCAGCACGGGATGGAGCGCCCAGCACGGGATGGAGCCCCCCGGGTGAGCCCCTGCCCCGTCAGTAGTCGCAGCTGCCCTGCAGGTAGGTGTCATCCAGGAACTCGGAGTAGCAGTCCAGAGAGCAGAAATAGCAGACGATGGGCGCTTCCGTGCCTCCCATGTTGTCCACCAGGACCACGGTGTGAGCCACGTGGTGCAGGTTCATGGTCACCGTGATCTGGATGAAGCTGCTCAGGCAGGCGCCGCCGCACTGGCACGTCTTGGCCACCTCCAGGTCTTCGCAGAGGTGAGAGGGGAGGAGGTGGCAACCGTAAGGGAGTCTGTTGGGTGAGAGGAACGAGCGTGAGTTCAGTGCACAATCCATCAACCACCTCCAACAGAAACACCCTTCCCAGATCTAAAACGTGCAACCACGTCCCCGAGTACCACGGATCTGACCTCCAGAAAATGCTCCAAAAGAGCAGGGAATTGCCAGAGGTCACAGCAGCCTGCGTGGCAGTGCCAAGGAACTGGACAGAGAGAATTAAAGAAAGGATTCAGGAGGAAACGGGTGAGTGTGCTGCTGCTCTTTTCCTCCATCGCATCACTGACATTCGATGACGAGAACAAGAACTGCTGCTGTTTAAATCCGCAGCTGAGCGGCAGTGTTTGGGGTCCAGCGCGAGGAATTTCCCCGCAGTGCTTTGTTACCTGCCAGCTGCGGAGAGCACCGTGCCCAGCTGTCACTGGAGACCCGCAGAACAGGAGTGACTCACAGCCAGGCTACACCTACGCACCCCCAGTGCCTTCTCCCTGCCATCACTCACATAGCTGAGGCTCCTGTGGTTCTGTTTTTGTCACCGTCTCAATTTCAGGACTTCCTTTGCTCTGATCAGGGCGCACACAATCCCAGCTCTGGTGCTTGCTGAGAATGCCACCATGAGGATTGATTTCCAAACGTTTGCTTTTGTGTCTTCTCTCCGTTTTCCTCCCTTCACAAGGTTTTTACACTTATCATCACTCCCATTTCTTGCTCTGTGTTAATGGCAGACAACGTCTGGGGCATTTGTGTGTGTGTGGGCAAGGGGCCCCTTGTTTTACCAAGACTCCCTGAGCAGAAAGCAGAAATTGCAAAACCCCGGCAGTTTATGTAAGGAAGCGTGGAGTTTGCACCCTGTTAACATCTCCAAGGTCAGGAGTGCCTGAGACTTGCACCTGAGCGCTCGGTTGCTCAGCTCATTTCCAGGGCGTGCCCTGCATGCCTGTGGACACCTTTAGCACTGACCTGTGAGCAATTAACCCGGGACTGCGGGGCACTCCCCATCCCCAAGGCAGGAATTGGCAAGGAACGCAGTTACGAGGCCTTCCCGGCTGTCTCTCACCCCCTTCCTGTACCCATGACTCTCTTCCATCTTCTTGCTCCTTTTTCCACCCAGAAAAACGAGGTGGGAGCAGCACCAGATGGCACCGGAAAAATCACAGGCAGAGGCACGGCGAGCGAGAGAGGAGCAAACCCCGTCACCAGCAGCAGCCTGACGAGGGTGACGTTGACCTGGTGTTAAATGGTTTTAAAGCTACCCCTGAACTGGGCTTCTCTGCCTAATGGGGCACAGCCGTCCTGCAGCACCTTGCTACACCTCTCAGCTCGTGCTGGGTGCTGTTTGAAGCAGTCTGATCCACCTCTGTAGCTCCACGGTGTGTGTGGAGGGCAGCTCTTGCCAGAACTGATCTCACAAGGGCTCACGGACCTCCCACAGGGCTCCAGTGCACTTCAGTGTCAGCACAAGGTGAAGGGCAACTGTGTTTGAGAGCACTTTCCAAGCCAGAGCCCAACACAAAACATGATCTGTGCCACAAAACCCACTGTGCTGTAAGCTCCCAACTCTAAAGAGCTGGTAGTAGTCGAGGCTTACAGGGCTGATTCTCTTTCCCTGTGGTTGGGCAAGAATATTCCTTTACGGAGCCCCCACTTTGTGGATAAAAAACATTTCATCTACGGCTTTCCCCAAATGCTTCCCAGTCACCGCTTTGCTACAGGGACCTGCATTACCCTGTATAGTAACGAGATTAAACTGCAAATGGGATTCAAAGCAGCTCTAACTTCATGAAGAGCAGCTGCCACTAACAGGAAAAAACAAATCAGGGAAATTTAGGCTTGACAGCTTTGAGACAGAGTAGGCGAACTGCGTGCCCACCATGCTGCTCTTACCTGTAATTTACGGTAGCTCTCGCAGCACACTCTAATAAAGTCAATGGTATTTTCAGCTGTATGTTGGGAACAAGAGGGTTAGGCTGCTCAAAAGGGTTCCCAAAGAGATCCAGGCTCTCAAGACAGAGTTTCCTAAAATCACTGGGCAAGAAAGGAAGTTTGTTTCGAGCTGCCGACAGAAAGCGCAGATGATCTAACTGGCCGATCTTGAATGGCAACCTAATCAGCTCGTTGTCATCCAGCTTCAAATTAACAAGTTCTCGCAGCTGGCAGAACTGAATGGGCAGTGCTTTAATTTTGTTTTGGCTGAGGTCCAAGCACTGGAGAGACTTCTGAAGGGTGGAGGTGCACAGGGCACTGCTGAAGGTCTCCAGGTGATTGTCGTGCAGGTTGAGCTCCTGAAGGAACACCAGGTCACCGATGGTGGCCGGCAGCTGCTTAATGTGGTTATGGCTCAGGTCGAGTTTTCGGAGCTTCTTCAAGCAGAGCACGCGCGTGTCGATCCGAGCGAGTTTGCAGTACGAGGCCTGGAGATGCTCGAGGGAATAAGGGAAGTTCTTGGTGAGCGGATAGTCTCTTTTTGAAGTTATGATCATTTTTGTTTTCGGCTTCTCCACTTCTGAAGTCTTCGCTGGTACCAGAGCTGAGAGCGGGAGAGCGCTGATGTTGGTCCCTTGGTGAGCCAGTCTCACAGCTGAAAGGAAATTCTTTAAATTGCTGGCATTTGCCTGCAGAAAAACACAAGCGTGGAATCACAAGTTTATTATTCTTGCACTTATCTGTACCACAACTTTCTGAACTATTTTGTACACGTATCAGGAGACGCTAACTCAGCAGGGAGCAGAACTGGGAAGGGAACCAATTCAGGCTTGTTTGGTTCATGTGCTGTTTGCAGGGTTTAAGAACAAACGGCAGGCAGTCTGAATGAGCAGTTACGACCTCCCTGAACAATCCAGATCGAACAAACCATGGTGTTACTCAGAAAAGGAACAAAGCACAGACCTCACAGCTGAATGCAACGTACAGAAAAAGAGCCCGACGCGCTGGGATGTTCCTAACCTGCAACGTGACAAAAGGGCAGTCAATGAAAACACAAAGAGGCAAAGCAGAGACCTAAAGTCTGAAGCATTTACTTCCGAAAGCTGCTAAGGGTGGAAGCTGAGGTTGAATTTGATGTAAAGCAAGGTGGAAAGCTTCACGGCAGGTTAAGGGAGTGCTTCTGGCCACAGGCAGCACTGCTCGGCTGTGCCAGCATCAAACGAGAGGATAATTATTTGCAGCCCTTTGTGCAAATAAGCTACCCAGGAAATTCTAAAGTTAAAAAATGATGCACGTGTACAGCCCCAATTCATCTCATTCACTGCAGGAAAGAACAAATGTGTGAGTTTGTTCTTGGAAAATGTCTTAGAAACATCCCAGCTGCAACCTGATCGTGCCTTGAGACCCCACTTGTGCACCTGAAGTCTCCCGTGCAGCACAACAGAGCGATGATCCCAGAGACTTCTGGATGTTCAACAAATAAAGGCATAAAAGGTCAAATGCATTTGACTGCATTGCTAACCTAATTATTGGTCTTCTTAATTATCCCATGCACATCTGTTCTCTTAACTCCCAGTGTGAAATCCTCCAGAGATGGGGAAATTGCACAGCAAAAGCATTTGTTATCTAGGACTGCCCACACCCGTTATCTCAGCCAATCTAAAACATTTAGCTGTGTGACTCCCCCTAATTACAGGGGCATTTGTCACATTTCCAAGTAGCTAAATACATTCAAAAGGAAGAAGAGGTCCTCCAGACGTGTAGAGACCCAACTTAGAATGAAGTTGCAGGCAGTAACTCTTTGCTCTTGAAGTGTGAGACAGGACAGATACCTGTTTCTTTGTAGCCAAATTCTCTAGGATGTCTGGAATAAGTTTACACCATTAATGTGACTTGAAAGTAAGAGCACTTTGTGTTCCAGATCCTTGAAACAGATTTCCACTCTAATACCTACACAAAGGCAATGTATCTGTAAACCTGTAAGAATATGTTGAGAAAAATTCTAAGACAAACACGTGGAAAAAAAGCGAAGAATTAGCTGGAAGCGCTCAGGAAGCAATTTTCTGCCACAAGACTGAACTCTTGACCACAAAAAAGACGTTGGAAAACTGAATTAAAGTGCTCTGCCTTAGAGGTCCAGAGTTAAACGAAAGATGACGAGGCAATCGGAGACTACACAGATTTCAGACCTTGCATGCAGCGCAGCAGGCACAGGCCTGCTGAAGGGAAAAATAAACAAACAAACAAACAAACCAACAAAGCACAGCGACTTTAGTGCTTTTGCTCCAGGGTTAAATGCTCCAGACTGACGTTTCTCAACTTAGTTTTTGCTGGGGCTGAACACAGCAAATCACACCACCTGGCAGAGCACAAAGAGTGCAGGTTATGCTGTAGTTTTATGTAGTCAGCACAGCCGTACCTGGAAATTTCTTGTTCTACAAAGCTTTTGTCTGTCGTGAGAGTTCAGAAGCCTTTCTGTAATAAAATTATAAATGACTAACAGAAATAGAAAAGAATAGAAACAGAAAAATAACCAATTGTCTTAAACTGGGTTTCCAGATTCAGCGCATTTAAGGAGGGACATACAGAATCACTGTCTTTGGAAGAATTTAGTGTATTTTTTCCTGGAGCTTGACAGTATGAAGGTAAGCCTTGTGTACAACACGAGAAGGAAAGATCTAACTTCCTTGGAGCAACTGTGATCAGCTTTGTACAAGGTCAAAATTCGAACTCCTGCTTCATTAGATTCTGTGGAGACATTCTTTTCAGCCAAACAACATCATTATCATAAAGAAAACAACAGATTTAGTTCTTAATGAAATTATTCCCTGCATTGGCATGCAGTTTTCTTACAGGCTCTATAAATGCTCTAAATTAGATCTTGCAGCACTAAGACACTGGACTTCTCCTTGCTGGTTTTATACCACTAGTAAATCTTCTTCCACCAGGCCTGCTGTTGTACCTGTGTTCTGAGAAACTTTTTGACTTTTCACACTGCAGTAGAAACTTTCAGAGGATGTAAAACAAGAATGTTTTAGATCTAATGCAACGTGCATGAATTTTTTGGCTGCACACGTTTGCTTTCCACAAAAAAAACAAAAAAAAACCAAAAAAAAACCTTAATGTTATTGAATTTAGGTAAGTACTGCTTATATTTGACCCTGCAACGTGAACCACTCTCCTTATCAGACTGAGGCCGCTTTCTGTACCACCACGGCCTTCACTCCCACACACAGTGTTTCCAGATCATTGTACCACCGTGACTCTTGCTGCAAAATCTCAGGCTACCACAACTATACTCAGACTTATATTCACTCGTTGGTCGCAATCCCAGTAAAACAAGTGCTTTTTCTTTCCAGGAAGCCACAGTCCCAAGCGTGGACTCATTTACCTGGTTTCTCAGGCAGACCTTGCAGCCTGCCCCGAACTCTGCTCAACTCTGGCAAGACTGGGGGCAGCGCCTGCTGGAGCTGCAGTTTGGACAGACCCTATGCCTCTCACCTCAGCCTTTCTGAGACAACATTTTACTTGGGAGAAAGAAGCCTAACCAGTGATGATTATTGCTGCTCAGTACAACACCATGAATTTATTGACTGATCTCCTTCAGGTCAAAGGACCACAGCTGAAACAGAAAGAATGATTTTCCAAGTAATAAATCAATATATTTTGCTTTTATTTACAGTCTAACTCCAAGGTTTTGAAGATCTGTCCCGCTTTCCTTTTCTATGAGGGTACTAAAGATTAGAGGAACAGCCACATAAAAAAATAACAGCACAGATACTAAATGCTAACGTGGTGTTTTTGGAGGGTGGGTTCAGCATCAATAAAAACATGTTTACATCTTCCAGGTGCCCCTTGAACCGGCTGTGGACACGTCGGTGAGTTCTGCTTTCAGCCTGGCACTGAGGCCTGGCGGTGACCTGCCGAATGTGTCCCAGCTTGGGGACAGCAGTGGGTACACTGTGTGCCCCCAACACGAGCACGTTCATCAGTTTTTAATCAGAAAGAGTTTGGCAATGCCCTGCTTCATGAGACCTGCAGCCCAAGAAGTGGGATGAGGCAGGTGAAACGCTTCTCTCAGAGTAAAGGGACGAGACCTGACAGGGAGAGGGGGCACTTCTCCCACAGGGGCAGAAGGAAGGAGGCTCAGGGCACAGCTTCTCGGGGCTGGGGACCCGGTGCTGCCCCTTTTGCCCCAGCAGGGTCCATGCCCATCTCGCACCCACCTTGCTGAGGCAGATATCCACAGCAGGCTCCCGGAGCCGCAGGGTGGCTTTGCCCTCCTCCACGAAGCGGGTGAAGCACCGCTCGACGTTCTCCTGCACCTGCAGGGGGGGAGGACGAAAGAAGAAAATCTGAAGGGCGAGGGACCCAAAGGAAGGGGTAGGGACCGAGGGGAGCCGTCCCCGAGCCCCACACCTTATAGCGAGAGCCGGCCCGGTCCCTGGCCGTGCACACCATGAGGTAAACGGAGCCGCCCCCAGCCCCGCCGGGCGGGCGACCCAGCGACAGCAGCGCCCTGGTGGCACGGCCCCGGCCCCGCAGCCCGCAGGAGGGCAGGAGGCGGCTGAGCACCTCCACCTCGCACTGCAGCCGCATCGCTGCCCAGCCCCGGCACGGCGGGCGGAAAGGGCTCGAGGGCGGGAAGGGAAAAGGGAGGAAAGGGAGGGACGAGGAGGGACGGGGGAGGGAGGGAGGGAGGTGATGGAGGCGGCGGGAGCGGGCGCCGCCTGCGGGTGGCGGCCGGAGAGGCAGGGGGGAGAGGGGAGACGGGGAGGGGTGAGGGGATATGGGGGGAGTTGAGGGACGTGGGGGGTGTGAAGGGGTATGGGGGGAGCTGGGGGTGTGAAGGGATATGGGGGAGCTGGGGGGATATGGGGGAGCTGGGGGTGTGGGGGACATGGGGGGAATGTGGGGGTGTGAAGGGATATGGGGAGAGCTGGGGGTGTGAGGGGACGTGGGGGGACTGGGGGTGTGAGGGGACATGGATGGAGCAGGGGATGTGGTGGGTGTGAGGGGAGACAGGGGACTGAGGACATGGCAGGTGTGAGGAGGTGTGGAGGAGTTGAGGGGACAGTGGGTGTGAGGGGACATGGGGGAGCTGGGTGCATAGAGGGTGTGAGGGGACTTGGATGGAGCTGGGGACGTGGTGGGTGTGAGGGGACACAGAGGGAGCTGAGGGGTATGAAGGTAGTAGGGGGAGCTGGGGGCATGGTGGGTGTGAGGGGACACGGCGGAGCTGGGTTCACAGTGACTGTGGTGGGACATGGATGGAGCCTGGGATGTGGCGGGTGTAAGGGGAGACGGGGAACTGAGGACATGGGAGGTGTGAGGGGATGCAGAGGGGCTGGGTGACAGCAGGTGTGAGGGGACATGGAGGGAACTGGGGACCTGGGACATGTGAGGGGAGATGGGAACAGAGGACATGGTGGGTGTGAGGGGACGTTGGGGGAGCTGGGGACATGGTAGGTGTGAGAGGACATTGAGGGGACATGGAGGGAACTGAGGGGCATGAGGGGACAGGGGTGAGCTGGGGCATGGTGAGTGTGATGGACGTGGATAGAGCAGGGGACATGGCAGGTGTGAAGGGATACAGGGGACTAAGACATGGCAGGTGTGAGGGGACAAGGGTGAGCTGGCTTTATAGTGGGTGTGAGGGGACATGGACAGAGCAGGGGACATGGCAAGCATGAGGGGGCACAGAGGGAGCTGGGGGCGTGGTGTGAGGGGACATGGAGGGAACTGAGGACATGCTGGGTGTAAGGGCAGATGGGGACATTAGGTGCGAGGGGACATTAAGGAGCTGAGGACACGGCTGTGGTGCCATGCCCCATGGATTTCTGCCCTGCAGTGACAGCAGAGACATCACCCAGTGACAAAGCGAAGGGACAGATAACTTTATCCGGGCTTCCTCCCCCAAAATAGGGTCTGGGGGTGTGCGGAGGGACTCGAGTGCCCACAAAAATCAGTCAACCGCCTGCCACCTTCACTCTGGTAGCGGCTCGGGCTCCCTAAACACCAGGAGAGTTGCGATGAAGAATTTTTTTCCCTCAGATTTTCACAATCCGGCACCCGCAGGAGGCGCTGCGGAGCGGGCGGCGGCGGCGCTGCCATATCCGCGCCCCGCCAGCAGGAGGCGGTGTGGGCGCCGCGGCTCGGGGGGCTCCCGGCAGCTTTTTGGGGGCTCCTGAGGCAAAATAGTCAAAATAGTGCTAGGGGGGGCAGCAAAAGGAGCCCGCGTCTCTCTGTGTTGCCCAGGCTACGCTGCAGTGGCTATTCACAGGGCGCGATCCCGCTACTGACCGGCACGGGAGTTTTGACCTGCTCCGTTTCCGACCTGGGCCGGTTCACCCCTCCTTAGGCAACCTGGTGTGCCCCGGCTCCCCGGGGCTCACCATATTGATGCCGGCCTTAGCGCGGACGCCCGCTCGGCATAGCGCACTGCAGCCCAGAACTCCTGGGCTCAAGCGATCCGGCGGGCTCAGCCTCCGAGCAGCTGGGACTACAGGCGTGCGCCACCGCGCCGGCCACCCGCTGCCCGGCGCCAGCGCTACTCCACTCCTCCCGCCGCTGACGTCACGGCCGCCGCCATTTCGTGAGGGCGGGATGGAGCCGAGGGGAGGGAGGGGGGGGAGAGGTGCACGCCGGGAGGCGGCGCGGCGTTGATTAAGGCAGGCGCCCGCCGCCATCTTCCTCTCTGTCAGGAGGCGGCGCGGCGGGCAGCATGGGGCACCAGCAGCTCTACTGGAGCCACCCCAGGAAGTTCGGGCAGGGCTCGCGGTCCTGGTTAGAGCGCTCTATCGGCGTCTGGGGGGCTTCAAGCCCTTCTATCCGCCCCCCTTCATCCCTTTCTAACCCTCCCCCTCCGCCGCCATTACGCGCCCTCACCGCTCCCCCCCTCTCTCTCCCTCTCTGTTTTCTCCTCACACGCCGCGTGTGCTCCAACCGCCACGGCCTGATCCGTAAGTACGGGCTGAACATGTGCCGGCAGTGCTTCGACAGTACGCCAAGGACATCGGCTTCATCAAGGTGAGTGCTGGGGCTGGACGGTGAGCGAAACGTGATTTTTTTTTTTTTTTTTTGCTTATGCCTCACGCCTTTCTTGTCCTCTCGCAGCTGGATTAAGCGCTGGGAGGATGAGGCTGTCGACGGATGCTCCTGCAGCTTTACCCGGGCCTCCGTGATCCACCTGCAGCATCTCAGCGCGGCTTTGCTCAATAAATGGTTTCCCTGCCAATCTGATGTGTGTGTAGCTGCTTTCTGGGGCAGTTCTCGTGCCTCGTGTTCTGTTACCGGGTCTCTTCTGGAGGAGTGGGTACTGTACTGGAGACAGGCCTGTATGATCCTGCACTGGTGTCCTGACTTTATCCACACAAAGCCATGCGGTCTCAAGAGTGCTGACGCTCCTGCCTCTGAGCTCTGAGGCAGCAGCCTGCCTGCTCTTAGCTGCTTAGTGACTCCCTCTGCCATCTTACTCCTAAATCCTTGTGCTGTTAAGGTATTGCACCATTAGTATGGGTTGGTATGTTTGTCCTCTTACATGCAATATGAATCCTAACATTTCCCCTGTCTAGCTAATTTGGAGGTGGAGTGCTGAACTTTAGTCATGCAAATACTACTGATCGTGCTTAAAAACTTACTATCCCTTACTTATGGTTCATACATAATGATTGGTGAGGGTAGAATGTTAAAAGTGTCTGTTGGGGCTGTCCTACCCAGGCTGTTTTGTTTTTTTTTTTTCCCCCCCATCCCCAACTGTTGCTCCTGAAGCTACTTTGCAGGAGCTTACTGACCAGTGAAGTGGAGTTATACCTCAAATGGCAAATGATGCCTTCTTTCTGAGTGCTCTGAATTCAGTTTAGGAATTCTTGCTCTTACCAGTCTAGTGACTGTTAAATGACACAGAACAAAGTGGGTCAGGGTTTGGGGGGCAGTGGGAACAAATTCTGGTGCCGGTGGCTGGAGTATTTATTCCATGTGTTAAAGCCTCACTCCTGAGGTGAACAGGGCAGTGTACCTGGATCCTCATCTTCTGTGAGTACCTCTTGGAGCTGAAGCGTGGCTGCGTCCTGTCACAGCTCCTCTCCAGGTATCTGCTGTGATGGAAACATGGAGAAATCTGATAGATGCCGTGGGCATGAGCTCAGCACGGACCTGTCAAGCAAACAGGCGTGCCTAGTGTCACAGCTGGTGGCTTTTCGTGAGCTTTATTTAATATCAAACATCCCGTGAGGAAGCTGTGTGGGGATCTGAGGTGTGTTTACAGCAAAAGCCAAAGGGCTGTGGGGGTAATGCTGCAGGCTGGTGGCAGCAGCATGAAGCTCATCGACTTTTTTTCACAACTGGCCCATTAAACTGGCACAGCAGCATGTGCTGTGGTGGTTAGTTGGTGTCAGTGGTTTAGGAATTACCTGAAACTAGTTAGAAATTTGCTTCACTACTTGGTAAGTAATGCTAAAAGTGAGCTAAAGCAACTGTGGGTTAGCACATTTGTTCCCCAAAAAGAAGGTATTGCTATTATCTGAAGAGCTGCTATGTTAGCTTCTTTGCAAGGGGACTAAACCTGGAGTGAACTACTGGGGAGGAATGGATACACCTGGGGTACTAATCAAGATCAATTAAGAGCTAAAGTCTGATACAAAAATTGAAAGGTAGCTGTAACAAGAAGCTGGGAAGGGCTGGGGGGGTGGGAGGAGTCCTGAGAGTGGTCAAAGTGGAGGCCCGGCGAGGGGGGAGCCTTGAGGCAGTGTGGGACAAGAAGGGCACTGAAACAGGAGCGAGCTGTAGCTGAAAACTCTGTAAAAAAAACTCTGTAAAACTGAGTAAACTGTAGTGTAAAAATCAGTTTGTATGCTAAAAAAGTTCATCTGGTAATTGATTTTCCAGTTTCAGCTAAGACACAGGTGAATCCTACGGGGTGTGTTTGTTTGGCTTCAACATCACTGATAATCAGGAACCATTAATTACCTTTCTAGCCAATTACTGAATTTCTTATGTCAAGGGGACTCATTGGAAGGCCAAGTTTTCTGTTAAATGTTATTTTAACTAATGCTACAATCTTAGATTTGTTCTGTTTCAAGAAAGCAAGAGAACAGCCAGCTTTTCTGCCACTGGCCTCTGCTCTTGGGCCCCCAGCAGAGAGCTGGGAGCTGTGGTGTAGAAGCTGCTTTCTCAGCAGCTTTCTTTGGGCTGACATGGTCTGTCCAAAACTGTTACCAACCTGTCCATGTCCTGGAGCACGAAACCCTCTACGTGATGATGGAGCAGCACCCTGACATCAAACCTCTGCCAAGGAATGATGTTAAGGAAAATTTCCTGATACTGCTGGTGGCTGGGGCTGCATATCCAGACACATCTCTTCTTACCATGAAAGATGCTTCTTGTTTTTATTCTGTCATCTTGTCATACACACCTGACCATAGTGTAAAATTTCAGATGCCCTTGGAAGCCTCCTTTCTCTGCCCTGTGTAGGTGTCAGGGCATGGCACTGAATTACCCTGGGGCTCCGGGTCTGGCAGCCCAGTGCCCGAGCAGCTGGGTTAGCTGCGTGATGGAAACTCATAATAAAAAAAGCTCTGTACCAAACAGCTAAGGAATCCAATCGAAAAGCAGATTCCTCTGTGAAAACAGAAGTGAAAGATGTTTTTGAATTACTTT